ATAGTTTGATCCTTGTAGTTTAATCGGTGTTAACACAATGCCCGGATGATCGCTTGAGCCAGGTAATACTCGTGATCAACCGGTGGTGGCGGCGGTGGTGTTTCATCATCACCCTATATTCCTAACACAAGTGCCTCGTTTTACGTAACAAAAATGTATCGATTTGTGCGAAACTATAAATATGAGATACTTACGTTATTGTTTTGCTAATTTCGAGCTCAAATCGGGTCCCTAAGCATTAAAATGACCCCTAAAACCTTAACCGGAGATTTTTCGACATGTAAATCGATGAAAAAGTTGAATCGGGCTGCAATTTACAATTTATACGAACTTTTGGGCTGCAATTTGCAATTTTTTTAAAATGACTGCAATTTGCAAAATACGAACTTTAAATGGCTGCAATTTACAAATTTTCCCAAAATAAAATTGCATGTCATTGTAGAGGTTTTTGCTTAAATCATGTAGTTTGGGGCATAATGATATGTTAGTCATCTTTCCCCCTTTTCACATAGGTGCAGCCTCGTGGATGTTCTGATAATATTTGTCTATCATACATTTCACCACAATTATAAAATGAAGAATTTCACACCATATTTCTTTTTTATTAAAAAAAATCTAAATATAACATAAGAATGTAATGCCCAATGAAGCACGGTACATCATTCCTCAAAAGCCCTGTTTGTTGGTCCAACTTTTTACTATAAAATGGTATGCTGCCTACCAATGCTTGTATACACCAAAAGCCTCGCTGCAAGTGTAACATGGACAGACAATTAAAATTGACATTGTAGAGGTTAAGTAATCAAAAGCTGTTGGATTATGTAAAGACAAGGTTTACAATTATTTCGACTTTGCTAATAGCCCAGTATAAAAAAGGAAAATTGGCTTAAAATAATACCAACTATTAACGGTACGTGTAAAATAAAACAAACTCGGCTATTTGCTATTAGTGGTACCGACTTTTATACTATATGTGCACAATAGTACGCCAATTTCCAAAAATGTATTTCGATGAATATTCCGTCTATCTTTGTGATTAATTATTCTTTTTTTTTTTTGTATTAATTGTCCGTTTTTTTTTATACATAGTATTATGTTAACGATTTTCTTTACAATCCAAATTAATAATGTCCCACCCTTTTGTTAGAATTTTTTTTAAAAAAACAAAATCAATATGTAATTTTTTTTCATAATAATACATATAGTAATTTCTACATCTCACAATAGTAAATAGGGTATTTAAATGCCTTATTATTATGTTGATATAATTAGTTTCAAAATATCCGAAAATTTTCCACATTCACCAACCAAAATAATATAGGGAATTTTTTGGATTTTTAAAACAATTTGAAACTAATTAAATAAAAAAACACCCTATTTACTATTGTGTGGTCGGCTGGTAGTATAAATAATCACTACATGTATTTAGAAATAAATTTTTTAAATACATATTGACAGTTTAAAAAACCTAACAAAGGGGTGGGTTATGCATTATTAATTTGATTGTAAAGGAAATTATTAATACAATATGTATTTTGGAAAAAAAAATTAATAAAATAGTAATTAATATCAACGGAATATTACTCAAAATACGTTTTTGGTGACTAGGCGTACTATTTTGCACATAGAGTATAAAAGGTGGTACCGCTAATAGCAAATAGTTGAGTTCATATTATTTTACACATACTAATGATACTATTGTGATATGGGCCTAAAAATAAAAAAAGTATTTCTCCGTATTGGTTGTTGGCCTGTTGGGTGATTATTGACATGGCCCATCTATAAGAAATCTAATATATATATAAAGGGGAGTTTTTTCCCGGGTTTTTAGAAAGCCACATAGGATCTATTTTCTTAGTGTGCCATATAGGATTATAAATTTTAGTAGTAACCAATTAAATAGGAGATTATTAAAATCTTTTATAATTAAATAATTCAAATGTTACGTAAGCAAAATTGGCGAATAAGATTTTCCAATTTAAATTAATTAAATATAAAATATTATCTTTTGATATTAGGAACTTTATTTAAACATATAACAAATTTTAGATCATAAATATATGTATAAATAAAATTATTTTAAAAAATTTAAACAAACTGTGCATCGCACGGGTTTTATCTAGTATTTGTATATAGGAGTATGGGCAACTTTATGGACAATTCAACCGCTAACTCGTAGCCTAAGACCCACTTTTGACTGCTTTAAGTTGTCTAGTTACTTTTATCTCCTACTAGATTCAAGATTCCCTAATTTCATTATTTTTCTCTAATTTTTTTTTATAAACCATAGGATGTAATATTGTAATAGCAAGTTGAGACTTGCAAGTTGTAATTGCAACTACTTCGTACAATATTTAATTTAATCAATTTGGATTTTACTTTTTTTTTTATTTAATTTAAAATAAATTTGCCCCACAATTAGTTTTGATTCCTCAAAAGAAAATTAGTCTAAATCTGTCACTGAGATTAACTAGGTGATTAATTAAATACTAAGTAAGTGAATGTTATTTGTTAGTTATTTTAGTGTATGTAATAATTAAAAAAAACTATAAATAGTTCAATAAGCTAATTTCAAACCTTTCCTATTATTAGGGCAGCTAACACGTACATAGCTAGTCATGTTCGAAAGTTCGGTCGGTTTGACGTTGTTAGTAGCATTAATTAGGAAAAATATATAAATAAACATTTTAGCGACATAATCATCTCAACACTATTAATAAAATGTGGTCAGACTTTTAAAAGGGATAAATACGTAAACAAACATTTTTTAAGGGTATAGTCTCGACAAGAGTTAACACTATTTAAAAGAGTTTACTCATATGTTTTTTAAATGTAGGGATATATGTTTTTTTTTTAAGAAAAAATTTAATTCAATAAACTACTTTTTTTGTTCTAATAATATTGCAATAAAAACTTTTGCCCTTTTCATCATTTTTGTTTGTCCATATAGTATAATTTATACGTTAAACAAAATATAGTCTTATATGTGAGATCTTGTTAGAATCGTCTCATAAAATACCTTTAATTTTTTATAATATTTACTTTTATACAAATATAGATATTTTAACAAATAAAAATGTGATTTGAGATGCGTGATTTTATCCTTGTTCTACTATTATTGAAACAGAAGAAGTATTTCATTACCAACCGCCCAAATTATTCAGAATGGTAAAGTCATTAATATAGTAAACTAAAATCTTTTTCACGCAAACAAGACCAATATTGTCATTATTTTCATCACCGCAATATTCTACAAACTTCCCCAAGCTTTCACTCATTGGGAGCTAGGTGTTCATAAGAAACACATACATGGACGGTTTTCCCATTATAATATTCCGTACTAAAAAGCTTTATATTTGGCAAATTTTATTACCTTATTTTCATGAATAACAAACCAATAAAAATTTAAATAAAATGCTCCATTACTTAAATTCATCATTATATAATCATATACTCCGTAATTTTGACTTGACAAAATTAGAAACATTATTAAGTGTATGCAGCCATGTCCCCCATATACTTCTTATTAACAGAGCTTTTTTGTGCAGCAGGCCACACCGTGCGGCCTGCTGCCAAGTCAGTAAAAATAACGGGGTTACTGTTTACGTGCATAACGGGGTTACTGATTTTGTCAGGGTTACTTGTATTTTTCAGGGGTTACTTGTATTTTTTTTTAAGAGTTACTTGTAATTTTTTTTTCAAGAGTTACTTGTAATTTTTTTTCCAGGAATTACTTGTATTTTTTTCCAGGAGCTACTTGTATTTTTTTTTTCAGGGGTTACTTGTATTTTTTTTTTCAGGAGTTACTTGTATTATTTTTTTTTTCAGGGGTTACTTGTATTTTTTTTTTCAGGAGTTACTTTTTTTTTTCAGGAGTTACTTGTATTTTTTTTTCAGGGGTTAATTGTATGGATTAGTTATTCAAGGGTTACTTGTATTTTCAAGGGTTACTTGTATTTTTTTTTCAGGAGTTACTTGAAGGATACTTTTTTTATTTTTTTATTTTTAGGGGTTACTTTTATGGGTTAATTCAAGGGTTACTTGTATGAGTTACTTATCCAAGGGTTACTTATATGAGTTACTTCAAAGGTTACTTGTATGAATTACTTATTCAATGGTTACTTGTTACTTATTCAAAGGTTGCTTGTAGGTTGGTTTCAAAAAAAAAAAAAAGGTTGCTTGTAGGCCCCATACCAAACCAGTAACACCCTACAAGTAACCCCCGACCAAAACCAGTAACACCCTACAAGTAACTCCCGACCAAAAGCAGTAACACCCTACAAGTAACCCCCGACCAAAACAAGTAACACCCTACAAGTAACCCCCGACCAAAACAAGTAACACCCTACAAGTAACCCCCGACCAAACCAGTAACACCCTACAAGTAACCCTTGACCAAAACCAGTAACACCTTACAAGTAACCCCTGACCAAACCAGTAACACCCTACAAGTAACCCAACCCCTGACCAAAACCAGTAACACCCTATAAGTATCCCCTGGCCAAAACCAGTAACACCCTACAAGTAACCCCTGACCAAACCAGTAACACCCTACATGTAATCCCTGATCAAACCAGTAACACCCTACAAGTAACCTCTGACCAAACTAGTAACACCCTATAATTTTTGACGTAGAATGTTCGATTTGAGATTCCATGAAGAAAAGGAGCTCAAATTTCTTTGGCTCTCATCGATTTCACTCTTCAAATGTTGTTCATGATCTTAAGGATAATTAATCACAATTTTTCACAACAATTTGACACCCAATTTCTACAATTTCGAGCTTTAATTGTAGCAATTTAGCAAAGAGGAGAGAGAAAATGGGTAGAGTAGAGATATGGTTGTTGGTGATGTATGGTTTGGCTTGAAGAAGAAGCTAAGAAAAAAGGAGAGAGAAAATGGGTGGAGTAGAGATATGATTGTTGGTGATGTGTGATTTGACTTGGAGAAGAAGCTAAGAAAAAAAAAAGAGAAGTGTTGTGGTATTTTTAAAAAAAATAAAAATAAAAATTGTGACTGGCCACACCGTGTGGCCAGCCACATACAAAAATTTGTGTCTTACTAATTACTCTGTTATTTTATTTCCAAAAAAATAAAAAGTTATTTAGTAAAGTTCAGATTGATAAATAAACTACGAATATTTCCTAGATTTATCTAAATTAAAGATCCGAAAACAAGTTCTAGCTAATTAACTAAACAATGAGCTAGAATAATTATACTCATTTTCGTTCGGTATTTATAGACCGTCCTCGGTTCTAGCCTAACTTAATGAAGGGCATTGCGAAGAGTTGTAGCAAAATCTCTTACATTCTTGTTGAATCCTTTTTCCATCTGCAAAAATGAATGTAAAATGTTCTTTCATTAATTCAAATTCAACAAAAATAATTCATTAAGATAAAAAAAATGCATTATTTTAGTTTATAAGGGGTGAGTTATTACCTGAGCAACAATGGTAACAGTTAGGGCAACGTTCTCAAATGGTATGACACTAAAATTAGTAATGACCAAATGATGCTTGTCTACCTCGGCAAATAACTTGGCCAATATCTCCTTTCGTTTTTCACAATAGACTCTTAGGAGAACTGTCTTACCCAATACTTTTACTTCAATTTCCGAGAATGAGTCACTACTATTATTATTATTACTTCCATCACCATCGCTACTACTACTACTACTACCGTTTCCACAATAGTCGTCCATAGTTGACGAGGAAGAAACATTATCATCTGCAGTGCCATTGACAAGTACCACGGACTCCACAATCCTCTTTGCGACCTCACTTTCGAGTACCTTTACTTTCTCTTGAAGTTCTTTCATGTGTCTTATTGCCTCTCCTAACACCGATGTTTTATCGATCTGTATAACCATTACCAAAACTTATATTTCAATCTTCAAATCTTTAATCATCATAGCATATTGGTCAAACATAGACACAATTGAAAAATATAAATTTAGAAAAGCCAATAATACTAACTTTTTTTTTTTTAATTCATTCTGATAAGTTAGGTTATAGTTTTTAAAAAAGACTGTCCGAACTTCTTGTGTATCTTTCCTTATAAAAAAAAAAATTTGTGCGCGCACCTTCTTTAGGCCAGGAAGGATGGCGGAGAGCGAAATGAACATCTGGCTAAGTAATTCCCGGCGCTTCCTCTCGGCGATAATGTGATCTTGCACTTGGCTCGGCTGTCGTTTCCTCTTTGGGGCATGACTCGTACTCACTGCTTGCTTCTTCGTCTTTTGCTTAGTTTTAGAAGGTTGGCTCTCTTGAACATCGGAGCTTACAATGTTCTCGCTCTCATTATTATTGTTATTGTTATTGTTATCGTCGTGGTTTTCACTGATGTCGGAAATAGGAGGGGTTGATATATATTGTTCAATGACATTGCACTCAATATCTACCTGAGGAGAGGCCGTGTCGAAAAATGCAGCAGCAAGTTGTTCGTCAAATGTTGATTCCATATCCATTACACTTTGATGGTAAGGGTCGATTAAACTATCAACTGGATCCATATCAATTTCCTACATCAAGCAATTGATACAATGGATCAGTTCATTAATTACAAAATTAATTTCAATGAACAAAAAATTAAGATGGATGTATATTTAATTTGTACTCCGTATAAAATATGTATACTATTAAACTTTGTCTATCCAAAAAAAAAAAAAAAAAAAAAAAATTCAGGCTAAGGGCATGTTCGGCGCTAGCTTTTGAGTAGCTTTTAGTGGTTTGACTAAGCCAAACCACTACTCAACAAAAAAATGTGAGTGTTTGGCAAAGTAATGGTTGAAGTACTCCGTAGCTTTTAGTGGTGGAGGTAGCTTTTATTAAAAGTTAGGATTATTAGCTTTTGAAGTTAGAGGTAGCTTTTGAAGTAGCTTTTGAAAATTTAATGTATAGTTTTAAAAATAAAATATTGATTCTTAAATGTAAGATCTAGCCAACCACTACTTTACCGAACAATCATACCTAAATTATCTTTTTTCACAGCTAACAGCTTGTTGACAGCTAACAGCTATCTCCACAGCTAGAGCTACCTTCACAGCTATATTTTGCCGAACATGCCCTAAATATGCACAAAATATTTTTATAATAATACAGTGGAGAACTATTTTGTGGCTTGCCCCTCGGTTCCACCAAAAAAATTAATAATCAATTAAAGATACCTAGACGGTGTAAAATAGAAATGAGCACATCATTTCAAACCGAAAGATTTATAAATAACTTCACAACTATTAAAGAAAGCAAAATTTTCGACTCCATCAAATTTAATTGTACACTATATTACTATTTCAAATTACATTTGTGAGAGCAAAATTTGAGGTAATCATTACAAGTAATAAATTAATTAAATAATTTAGAATTGTATATTGAGCTCTTACCAATTCTGCTAACCATGCATCCATAGTCATGGTCGAAGTCATTGTTTCCTCTTCTTAGCAATTCAAGTAGGACGACAAAAGAGGTATATGAATGCTATTATACTGATTGGAAAGTAGTGTTGTTGAGTTTTCAGTCTTTAGAGTTCCCTTATTTATAGAGAGCAATGTCACCAATTTCACGTGTTTCATTTCCCGTTACCCCAGCATTTTTTAATACTCTCTCTTCATTTTATATTCTTTCTTATATGAATTTTGCAGTTTAAAATAAATATCTTTAATTATAAATACACTCAATAAGATCTGAGTAAGACCCTGTTTGATTCACCTTAATTTTACTGAACTGAAATTATTTTTAATGAACTGAACTTATTTTTACTGAACTAATACTTAATTTTACTGAACTTAAATTATTTTTATTGAACTTAAATTATTTTTACTGAACTGAAATTATTTTTACTGATTTTCTATTATAATTCTTCTTTAAGAAAACTGAATTTTACTGAACTTAACTTATTTCTACTGAACTGAAATTAATTTTACTGAAGTAAACTTATTTTTACTGAACTGAAATTATTTTACTTAATATTATTTTTTTAAAGTGAAGAGAACAGGGCCTAAAAAATAAGGATTCTAAATAATTTCTGAAAATATATCTTAAATTAGATCTAACAAGATTGCACATGATATAATTTTGATGTTTATATTGTAAGTGGCGGAATTGGGGGGAGCCTGGGTGGGCCATGGCCACCCCCTTGGCCCAAAAAATTGTTTAATGCTATGCCCAAATATGTTTATATAAAAAAACAAAAAAAGCTAAAAAAAAACCATGTATGTAACATATTTGTCGGCTATCACAAGAAAAAGGAAGGAATCTTTTATTACCCCACTTTTTGTGTACAGTACTTCAGTTCCTACTAGTACTAATTTTTTTTTTTTTTTTTTTTTTTTTTTTTTTTTTTGAGAAATACTAAGCTAGTACTAAATACCAAAAAGTGAAAAGTACTTCTATAATCTATACATATAGCCTATAGGGTTAGGTACTATGTAAACCAATAACGCAAAAAAAAAAAAACTATGTAAACTATTAATTTAAACTTAGGAGAGCCCATGTTAATTGAATTTTTTTTTTTGGCACTTTAAATTTGTACAGACATTTTTATTTTAATGGTTTATGTTGATTTTTTTTTTAGGAAAATGCTATACATAGTCCTAAGGGCTACATATAAGCATTTAATTTACTCTTGAAAATTGTTTAAATTTAGAAAATCATGACAAAAACACACTAATTACACCAATCTGCGCGTGTTTTTATCATAAATTCCTAACTTTATACATTTTTCAAGAGTAAATTCAATGCTTATATATAGTCCTAAAGGCTATGTATAACCAAATTATGTATGCATTTATCACTTGTCGAGTTATTTTTTTTATTTTATTGATTAGGCCACCCCTTTAAAAAAAATCCTGGTTACGCCCCTGGTTATTATAATCAAAGTTTTAAACGTTGACCATAAAAAAATCGTCGCATTGAATTTAAAAATAAAATGAGTGGAGAGAGTAATAGTTAATTGTTTGGAATAAGGCCTTGGTTCGGTTACTTGATTGGGTGTGACCCAAAGGGTTGAGTCAAGAGCAAGCTGTAATATTAATTATACATTAGGATTACTGATCGGAAGCGGCCTCCAGCTAAGCATTCCGATCACTTGACCTCACTAAATAATTAGTTTTCCTAATTACTTCTGAACCCTCTATCGGAATAATACACTTATTCGAAGTACATCATTCCTTTCTGTTCGGGATAACCCAATTGCATAAACGGGTTGAAAATCTCAAATAAAACTTGTTAGTTTAAATCTGGTTTGATTCAGCGGGTTGCTGAGTCTAATCAACTTTTTTCCAACCCTACTTGAATTAATCACATTCACTCTGTTTGGACTAAACACATCAATAAGCTTAACACATAGCTTAAAAATAAATATAGGTGGGAATGAGGGATCAATGTGAGGATTTTTAGAGGTGATTAACATCGGCTCGACTTGCTAGTACGTCCAGCCCGACCCGGTCCGAAAATAAGGCTAGTTTGACAAGCCTAAAACACATTTTTAGTTTAAAGTCCGAACCTAACCTGAAAAATCCTGAAAAGCTCGATACATTTTTTCAGGTTTGGACACGACGTATTATATTAAGGCTCACCCCGAATTTTTGTTTTAATATAAAGATTATAAACTATAATTGGTGCAGGTATATATATACTTCCCCGTTCCAAATTAGATGGCACGCTTCTCTTCTCACGTTTGTCAATGCAAAAGTTCAATCGAATATATCTATAATTATATTATTGTGAAAAATATTAAAAATCGAATTTTAATTAAGTACACACTGAAAAGAATCTAACATCCTACATGACTTTTTTTTTTTTTTTTTTTGAAACCACATGACTATGTTTTTTATACACCTATAAATCACAAGTATTAGTAAAAGCAAAGTTGATGAATAGTGTCATAAGTCAAAATGTATCATCTATTTTTATTTTTTTTTCTTTTTTTGAGGAATCAAAACGTGTCATCTAATTTAGAACAGAGGAAGTAGTTAGTATTGTAAGTGAAATTAATCATATGATGGGGAAAAAGAGATAATAAAACAACAAAATTCCCTTATCATATACTGTAAAAAAGTATTCTTCAAAAAAAAAAAACTATAAAAAATTACTGCAATTAATTAGAATTAGAAAAAATTAGAAATGAATAGTGTCTCAATTAATCTGAAACTAGTTCTTTGCCCGAGCAATGCTCAGATATTTGCTAAAAAAAATTATAAATTGCTCTAAGTTTTCCGTATTTGTTTATAGATTTTGTATACATTGTTTACGTAATCAAAATACTATAAACAGATGAGACACGTTAATACATAGTATCTCTATTTTTGTAGTTTGCTGACAAATTATGAATTTAAAATTGAATTATAATTTTTTTTAAGGAAATGAAAAATTCATTTTATAGATTAATGCAGGAAGATTTAAGGGATTATAGACGCTAAGGTTTTCTAATATTAATGTATAATCAAAACCTTTGTAGTTTGATGATTTTCTATTTGCAACAATAAATTTTAGTTGAATTAATTTTAGAAATAAGAATGGTAAAAAGTCACTAATTTACTATGACATTACATTGTTCATTATTTTTAATCTATTTTAATCATTTATCTCACTTTTCTTATTTATTTATAAAGTGAATAAAAAAATGTATTTATTTAAAGTAGTTGTTATTGCTCTATTTTTGGGTGTTTAATTTGTATATTAAAAAAATTAGCTTTTTATTTTTTAAGGACCAAAAAAAAAAGATTTTTGGCGGGAAATTTTTTAATTAGGATGCGATACGTGTACTTTACGGATAATTCTAGTGATTACTTTAGGGGTTGTTTGGTTGCCAAAGAGAAACATGGGAATTTGAAAATCCTAGAAATTGAAAATTTTTGAATTTGTTTGGTTGACAAATTCATGGGAAGTAGAAATTTCCATGAATTTCCATTTCCCACAAAATGGGGGAAGTTAATTACCTAGGGGGGCCTAGGTGAGTGGAACTTCTCATGGGAATTTCCACTTTTCTTAGTTAACCAAATAATTTTTAGAATTTCCTAGGAAGTTCAATTTCATGGAAAATCAATTTTTCAAGGAATTTGCAATTCCTACATTAAAAAAAAAAAAGAACCCTTAAGTATATATTTCATTTGTTTCTTTTTAGTTGACTTGTTTCTTTAGTCACGTTTGTCAATGCACAAATTCAATCATTTATATCTTTAATTAGCGAGAAGCAAAGATTATAAAAAGTTAATATTTGGAAAATATACATTATGACGAATGTAACAAGATCTCGCTTGTCTATATTTTTCTTCATATATATATCACAAAATATGATCAAAGAGAGGTGTGTGAATAATGATAAAGTCAAAAGTGTCAATTAATAAAAAACGGAGGTAGTAGTATTGATGATTAATTGATAGAACTATTTTTTTTAATCAACGGAAATCTGTGCGATAATAAAAAATAAAAAAAAATGAATACTCCGTAATACATTAATACTAACATGTTTTTGTGTTTTTGCACCATTTTACCTATTCCCTTATATTCAAATCACTAACGTTCTCTATTGTCCTACTAGTAAAAAAAAACCCTTAAAAAGTCTTGCCAAAAAGAGATTACTGTACGGAATAAAACTGTATATTTTAAGGTAGATTGGACCTTCTTAATTTGAGTAATGATTGAACAATAATTGCTTTTCAAGAAATCTCCTTTCATCATTATTCACGTGATCTTGTCAAAAATATTACTCGTACAATTATTACCTGCTCTCCATAATTTTGTTTTTTTTTTTAATGTTTTGAATTTTACGGCTTTCCATGTATAATAATGACATATGTTTTTTTTTTTTGGAAAGAATAATGACATATGATTAAATATTCTAAAAATGTTTTCAAAAAAAAAAAAAATTCTAAAAATGACTTGTTTGATATCGGTTTTTGTTTTCAGTTTTTAAATTTTTTTGAAAATAAAAATCTAAAAACAGGAAAGAAGAAAAAGGTAATTCCTTATGTTGTCAGTTTTCAATATTATCATTATCGTACCACGTAATAAATTTGACCAATTTTATTATTCATTTTTTGACATATATAATATAATTCTGAAAAAACAAAAAACCCAAAAAATAAAAAATTCCGATGATACCAAATGAACCTTTAATATTTTGGATTATATTTCAAGTTGAATTTAACAAAATTTCATAATATAGTTCACGCAATCGCTATAATGTAAATGCAGTTTCACATGTAGCTGACCACACTGCGTGGTTGAGGTTACTTGACTAGGGGTTATTTGATTGATCAGAGGTTAGTCGGTCAGGGATTATTTGGTCAAGGGTTACTCAATCGATCAGAGGTTAATTGATCGAACCTAATTTGCTAAATATTTGTTCAATCTGAGACAAAAATAAGCAAATTTTGGGTACTACAAGAACTTTCTCCTTTTGTAAAAATGAAGACTCGAACCTGTTCAATTTAATCAAATAATTGAAAAACTAATTACCATATTATACATCATCAACCACCATTGTCAAGAAATTGAAGTTGTTAAATTCAACCATTGTATGAGTAAATAAAGTTTAAGTTTTTTTTTTTTAATTACAAAGGAAGTAAATTT